TTTAAATGGGCTTGTAAACTTTCCCCAGAGTTTAACTGAAAAAGCATTGAGAATAAAAAACGTGTTATTTTAATTATATTTTACTTGCTTCGCCCTTAAAATGTTAAAGGGAATTTGAATTATCCTTTTATTCATATAGGAATCAAAATGATACTCAGCTTTACATACTCCAGATCCAGGTCTAAGTGTAATGGGGACAGGACCTTTTAAATCTGTGCCCCAAAACTACAAGAAGATGTTGCAGGTACACAAGAGTACACCAAGAAAAGCTGCCTACGATCAATTCATTCAAAAAAACTTTTTTTTTTTTTTGGCAGACGTTGAACCCCCGTCCGTTTACATAAGATGGTTTGGTCCTGGCCCCAAACCAGCTGCTGACAGTAATTGCTAGCATTGAATTGCTAGTTATGCATTTGGGGGACATGTGTCTTACGCCTCCTTGTGAAAAATATCTAACCCAAAATTACACAAAGGAATAAGTGTTGTGCGTAAGTGGTAGATATGAACCTGCAGGAGTGTGCTGGGGAATTAGGCTCCTTTTTCTGTATAAATAGATGCTTTATATTTTAGCATAACTTTCTGAGAAAGTGAATCTGAATCTGAAAACTAAAGAGGTAGGTGTGCAGCACTGTGTTAAAACATGTGCACTACTGTATCACAGGCAGTCTGTAGGTATTTATTTTAATATAAATTCAAGTTTAAAACAACAGATTAAAACCTTGTGTTAATGAAAATACAAACACACAAAGAAGTGTTTCTGTCCACAATGTTCAACATATGAAATAAAATGACACATGGTCAGTTATGTGCTTCCGCTTCAGCTGAAGTCACGCTTAAAAGATATCTCCACAACTTCTAATGCAACATAACAAGGAGGGGAGAAAATTACTGGCAATAGGCCTTTATGCAACAAAGGATAACATCACTGTGATAGTCACTGGCATTGAACATTTCCAACATATTTGCTGTTGATGAATAGATTTAGCTGACTCTTCAGTCAGCAATAGCTTGGTCAGAAGGGAAAAATTCTTTCCAACGTCACTTTTACACAAATCAACAGCAATGGTCTAAAAAAAAGCTTTAAAAGCACAGAAAAGTGTCTCGCTTCAGGCTGCAGAATTGGCCAAAAGAGACAATAAGCTTTTTTATTTCACTGCTCCACACACTTGGAACAACACAACGCGACTGCAGCCCAGATATTTCAAAGCACTAAAGAGTCGTCTTCACAGGAAATCCACCCTGTCATCATGTTTGTTTTGGTTGCTACAGATGCGTTTTGACAGTTGGATTCTATGCATTTGTTTTTTACAACATGTAAATATACGTAACTGTTCGCTCAAACATTTACAAGCCTGGAATAAAATGTAGGGTATTTACTGTGTTTGTTCCTGGCTGGATTGGAGCTGAAAGCTGAACTATGTCCAAATGTATAGAGGAGCATAAACAAAGCAGAGTTAACTGAGTATTTAGCCCCCCGGCAGCAGCTGAGGGATGATCTGATTCAGATGAACAGATAGAGACAGAGAGAGGAAGATGGAAATATAGATGTCAGGAGATAAGGGGGAGCAGCACAGTGCTCTGCAAAAACACGTTAAGACAACACAGACAACCCAGTTTTTTTTTCCCACGGGACATATACGGTAGGTCCCAGTGAATGAGACACACACACACACACACACACACACACACAAATATAGTCAAAAACACAGAGATCCCATCTGTCCCGGCGCCTTAATCAGCTTATCACTCCCTGCAGGGCTGTTCAAAAGGACTATATCAAGCTTTGACATACATTAGTGCTACTACTGGATCGAGCAATGTGCAGTTCCTAACCCAGCACCTCTGTCACACACACACACACACACACACACACTTTCTACGCCTAACTCACAGTCGCTGACAACACATTCCAAATATGCACACATGCACAAAATTGGACTTAAGTATGCATGCACGCAAATCAACCCCCTGACATTTTCATCCCAAAAAGATTGCAAACATCCCCTGCATGTAAGTACCATCAAAATCATTAAACATGCACACACTTTCACAAACACACAGCAGAGGACTAAGTGCTTAGAAAAACAACACAAACAAGGCCAAGACACGCAACAGAGCATGCACAGGCAACCGCGAGCTATGTGTGTGAGTGTCGGTGTGCATGTGCGCGCGCTTCTCTTGACAGGATGCCAAAGCCCAGCTGATCTCTCAGTAAATATGGACATATGGTCAGCCTCTGCGGGGAGAGACAGATACAGAGGGAGAGAGAGTATGAGGATGACACAGAAGATGCATCCTGGCATGTTTTCCTCATTTATCCGCAGAGACACCACAGCGGGTGGAGACATCTTATCCTCCGAGGACATGTGCTCTCTTTTCCCAAAGCTGAAGCATTTAGCCTTTTTGGATTCTTTACATCACCCTGGGGAGCAGAGCAGAGGTGTCCACTTTGGGTTGCGTAATGATTAGTTTATCTGTGGTCTTTTTTTGGTGTCTGCATTAAATCCAATGATTTTTGCTCTGCTTCGCTGCCTCAGAGCTCCACTTTAGTCCACTTGGAAGCTAACAAATGAAGATGTGAAATGCATTTTTAATTGTTGTGTGTCCTAATTTGGAATAACTTTTTTCTTGGGGTGTCTGGTGGCCTAGAATTCCACTCTATGCCCCAGCATATTCCTTACAAAAAGTAATTCACATTTTTTGTCAAAACTCTAAAATCAATTAAATGTAAGAGGGTATTTACTGGTAAAACATGTTCTGACTGATCAGAGGAAAAACTACCTTCTGATTTAATTTCAATGAAAATGTATGGAGTCAGCCTGCCAGAGATGCTGATGTAACTTATTTGATATTAAAGCCCCAGAGATGCACAGCAACTCCAAGACTGGGGTTATTTGCTCCTCTAATAGAAGCTGACACATTTCTTATGCATAAAATCACTTTCTCACAGCATCTGTCTACTTTTCCCTAATCTCTCTCTACACCCCATTTCTGCCACCTTCCGACAACCTCCTCTCTTGTCCTTTGCCATTTTCCGAGCCTTTTAACGTCTGTGTTCTGTCGTCTTTTTTTAGATTTCCGTTCCTGTCTCTCGCCTCAGTGTTTCTGGCTGTTAATCAGAGTTGCCTGGGACATCAGGCGGCTGCTGTCATGATGCCCAGCTTCGGGCTCCAGGCATCAACATTTATCATTCGGAACAACAACAGCATGATCCACTCCACCGCACTGCTCCAATCCTCGAGCCACCCACATCCTCAAAGCCATGTAAATTGTGAGAGCTGTAAATCAAGGCCACGTTCTGGAGATCTTGCAAAGATCGCATGGTGTGAGGGGACTGTCGTAGTCCTGAAGAGGGCATTAGTGACTGTCCAGCTGTTTGAAAACTCTTTAGTTTCATAACTCTGATGTAAACCACCAAATATCAGATACTGATCAGAAGTAGTGTTTGATCCTTAATGCAAGTTCGCTCTGCAGGGAAAACAAGTACAAGATGGTGAACTTTGAGGTGATGGTGGATTAGTATCACAGACTGAGAGTTGAAGTTGAGGGGCATTAACAGTATCAGTGTGTACATTATAAGAAGTAATGTGCAGCCTGTAAACACAGTTTAATAATGTTTCCTGAGGGGAATGTTTTAAAGCATGCCGGTTATCTCTGTTTGGGTTCTTAAACCATAAACGAGATGCTTTTTTTACAGCCTGAGGGAGCAGATGTTGAAGCTTTCCATGACTGTAGGATCGATATAAACTAAGCTATCAGGCTGTCTATGATAACATTTAAAGCATTAATACTAGAGACTAATAGACTTCTTTTGATTTACACTTTATTAGGTACAGCTGTTCAACTCCTTGTTATTGCAGATATCTAATCAGCCTATCACATGGCAGCAACTCAATGCATTTAGGCATGTAGACATGGTCAAGACGATCTTCTGAAGTTCAAACCGAGCACCAGAATGGGAAAAAAAAAGTTGATTTAAGTGACTTTGAATGTGTGCAACAGACAAATCTGCAGCAACTGTGTGATGCTATCATGTCAATGTTGACCAACATCTCTAAAGAAATGTTGCCGGGACCTTGATGAATCTATGCCACAAAGAATTAAGGCAGTTCTGAAGACAAAAGGGGGTCCAACCAGGTGCTAGCAAGGTGTACCTAATAAAGTGGCCGATGTGTGTATGTTGTATTACTGTACCTCCTTAATAATACCAGGAAAAGCCTGTTGAGTATCAAACTCTCATCACCTACTGAAGTCTGAAGTGAAGTAGTCCTTTAGCAGAAGGAGGCTGCTATTAATATCTGAAATTAAAATCAGCTTAAATCTAATTAAATAAAAAGGGACTAAAAGGGTCAGACCAAAACTTTTTGGCATCCATAGAGCATCAGTTTCTGTTATCCAATGACATCTCTCAGTCTCTTTTCAGATTTACTAAAGGGGATTTAAAGGAAAAAGTAATTTCCTTGAGATCCGTTCTGTTACTATGTCAGACACCTTGAATTGCAGTCTGAACCGGTTAGTGGCAAAACAAGCACCTTTAGGGGAAATACTTTGACACATTGTATTTGCAGTTACAGATTATGTTTCAGATCTTATAGCCCGCCCAGAGCTCTGAAACATGTTCACATGCAGACATTAACTTTTTGTAGGAGGGTAATGGGTGCCGAAGTCTTCCAGACTGAAGTCAGCATTGTTTAAAACTTTCATATGCAACAACTTATGCAACTAGATCAAAGTAAAGAAAAACTGTCCGGGATTGTTGTGTCAATTATTGGTGCTGAAATTCAATTTAATGGGCCCAACACCTGCTTCACTGTGCTGGACCGGCACCAGTTTTTAGATAATGAACCAAGGTCTTGGCAGCAGCACTTCATAAAATCCCCAAAACACTAAAGAAATCAAAGGAGTGGCTGTCTGCTGCCATATGCTGGAACCTGGTGTGGCCGACACTACGTTTTTTACAGTCAACTTTAAAGAGAGAAAAAAACAGCCAAACAAGGAAGTAGTCTAACATGTTTTATTCACTGTTAAGAATTCACCATTATAAAGCATTTTGGATCTCTCTCATTGAAGACTCTTTGGGCAACCAGTGCCTGGTTCAAACTGCACACTTTGTTCAACATCACAGCTGACTTGTTCTCCAGCTCTGATCTGACTGATACAACACGGAAATCCACCTGTGATAGGTACAAAGAGAAAAGACCAGCTGGTGCTCATACAGAATACCCTGAAGTTAAAGAAAGTAAATGCAGGGTAGAGAACATGAACATGGGAGACAGAGCGACTCTCTTGCTCCTGTCAAATAAATACTCTATCGTCTCCATTTACTGTTATTGTAGTAGATATGATCAGATTGCACTTAAGAGCAAATATTGAATTCTGTACACATAGCTGTCGGATTTTATAAAACATGTTTTCCAAATTGGTCCATTTTTAATTTACCCAGTCATTCTTCCTGAGACTCTTCCAGAACCGCAGACATTCAGTACTTATACACCATAGATATATCTTTATTTCTATCCACGAGTACATACTTGTCAGTCTTCCTTTTATCCATAACTTTATCCATCTTTGTGGAGGCAAAATAACTTTTTCATACTACACTTACTTTAACTATCCACTCCTCAGATCCTCTCTCACCATATGGCTTACTCTCTCATCATTTCCAAGACACAGTATAGTAAACAGATTTCTACTTGCTGCTTGAGAGTAGCATAATCCAAGACGTGACCTTGTTTCTGGTGCAAACACAGAACTAGACAATATTAAAGCAAGATATACAGACAGCACTAAGTGCAGCTGCTGCCATATTTACTGTACTTGACCTGAATGTGCATCTGCGTCGTGACGTGATTATCTTCGTGAGAGTGATGGCCTGTGCTTTGTCGAGATGATAAACCCGAAAATAAACAGTTTACTTGCATGCAGACATAAATATGTATATTAACAGTCTTACAGCCAAACATTTTTTTTTTTTAAATACAAATGTGTTTATGAAAGTTTTTATGTGAAGTTTCACAGTATCAATGTGTTTCTCTTCTTAGCTTGTTCACCAGTCACAACACTGTGCAGCACCAGAGTCTCTCACAGTTTGCAGCCAGTTTGGCTTTGTTCTGCTAAGATCTCTAGAGTGTCACACACACACACACACACACACACACACACACACACACACACACACACAATTTAAGTACCTTTACAGGAGGAAAAAAAAACACAAGCATCCTTCGCCTTCATTCTCACCATCATTATTCATACCAGTCTATTATTGCTTTGTATATCAATATCATTATAAAGATCAAGTGACAGAGAAGGGAAAGGTATCGTTCCATTCAGTCCAGCAGGGAAGCAGTCCTGACCTGCAGCCCGGATTAAAACCACTGATGTGTCATTTCCATAACAATGTGATGTAAGGCAGCAGAACATGAACAGATGGGCTCCACCTCTTCAGACGTGTATGCATACAAAAAGTAGCACTTCCCTGTTTTTTTTTTTTTCAAGCAAGTCTTTTCAAGTCCTTTTGAGTCTATACATTAGAGACAGCATTGTTTGTATCCCGCGCCTGACGGATGCCGTACAGCCACTTGATGACTCGAGCGTTTCTCTCGATGACTGAGATACCGTAGGGCACACGTTCGTTGGCTCTGGCTGGTGAGTCCTCATCCTCCTCGTCTCCTCCGTCCTCCCTCATCCGCTCAGCCTCTGAGCTAGGCGTACTGACGCTGCGAAGCTTGGACACGGACACAATGTCTGAGTTGGCTCTTGTAAAAAGCTCCACTCCCCCCATGCCCTCGACCTCCTGCGGGTCCAGCCCGCAGTAGTTGAAGAAGCGCTCCAGGTCGGCTGTTGCACGGGAGTAGCGGTCGCTCAGGTCCGATTTGGAGCGGTGCAAGGCTGGGTGCTTACGGGAGGATCCCTTAGAGCTGGCGTTAGATATACGAGTGAAAGCAGGGGAGGCTGGAGGGATCATGCCAGCTCGGACCAGCAAGGGACTGGGTGGTGGGTACGCTGGAGGTGGGGGCAAGGTTTGGGATGGGGTGTTGAGCTGGGGTTTAGGTTTGTTCTGAGGGGGTGGAGGAGGTGGGACATTTGGGTGAGCGACCTGGCCCTGGGCAGTCTGTCTGGGCCTGAGTGGGGGCTGCAGCTGTACCCTCAGAGGCTTCCTTATCTCAGCCTGAGGTCTGACGTCCACCCTGCGCACTGTCACTGAGTTAGGGCCGCTATAAAGCGCCTGAACCCCAATGCGGGGTGCTCGTGCTGGAACAGGGGGCGGACGACGGGCTGGCTCTGCTGTCTGAGTCTTGAGGTTGTTGTTGAGCGGAGAGGAGGTGCAGGAGGAGGTGGATGAGGAGTTGATCGTGCAGTGATTCAGTGGTTTGAGGTTGTTAAGGAGTCGGTTACTTCTCTCCTGTTCTGCTGACAGGCTACTACCGATGCTCTTAGCTCCTGATGATGGAGATGACGAGGAGGGGGAGGTGGAGGAAGAGGACTGAGAACATGGCACTGGTCCATCACATACATCATTGATAAGATTATTGAGAATATCCAGGTTAAGAGCAGGTCCTCTCCTCCCTCCAGGCCCCTCTCTCCCTCCTCTGTTCTCCACATCAGCTGGGCATCGGAGAACTTTGCGGGCCGGAGGAGTGCTGATTTGGCACTGGAGCATCATCCCCGGAGAAAGGAGGGGCTTTCGAATGATAGGTGGTTTGATAGGAGCCTGGCGGGTGAGGGCTACCTGCTGGCTTTTTACATATTTGGCCTTGTCTGCCTCTAAACGTTCTACTGCGCTCAGTTTACGAGCCCCTGGATCCGCCTGACGACGGAAGTAGTCCGGACCCTTGTTAAGAATCCTGAAGGGCATGGCTGAGGTGAAGGGAACCCCGGCCAGATGGCCGTCTGAGGGCCGCAGCGTCTCCACCGGCATGCTGGAGGAATGGACAGAGAGTTAGAAAGATTTCACTTAAACAGTTTTAGGAAAACAAATATGGACAAATGCAAACAAAGACAGAATAAACAAGAGCTGAGATAGAAGAGATTGGTTCTGTTTTACTCTAATGTCAAATGGAACAAAAGGTGCTTATCACAATGATGTGGACAGAAGATTAAAGTTAGACTAGAGACAAACATGAGAAGTGACAGAAGGAGAAGTGGGTGAGAGTGGAGCTCCCACATGTCCCCTCTAAGCTTAAGAAAAAAGCTCTTTTGTACTCTCTCTTTTCTTCCCACTCTCCCCCCTCTCCTCCCTCACTCGCACCCAGAGCCCCCTTTAACTTCCTTACCGGTCGCTGTGCTGCTGCTCTCACTTCTCTCTTTTTCTTCCTCCTTTCTTTTCTGTCGCCCCTCTCGCTCTTTTATCCTTGATTTTTCCCAGTTCAAGCTTGGTTAAAGGCTACTTGTAGGAAAGGGTCAGTCGGGGTCAAATTCCACATCAGGCCCAGATCTATTAGCTCAGTGATGACCCAAAAGGGGGCTAGGCTGAAGATCGGGGTCAGCGGTCAGCCACAGTGCAGCCGATGGTGGCTCTTTATCCAAAATGCAAGTCTGGTGTATCAGCTGGCAATGATCCCCCGCAAACACGACAGCCTCTATGATGCCGTTTGCAATCTGTGTCGAACTCGTCTGTCAAGCCCGTCCTTCTCTCCAGCTGTCATCTGACACAGAAAGCCAGTAGGCTGCTCCTCCACAGAGTCCCACAGTCCTGAAGAGGGTTAAAAAGAGATGGAAGTCCAAGTGAGATAAAGGTAGAGCTCTCGGTTTTCAGTGCGCCTCTCATTAACAAAAGCATCCACACACTGTTACACACACACACACACCACACACACACACTTCTCCGGCTGACAGACAGGGACTCTTTTGAACACTGAAGTGGAGCAGACGGGACAAGCTTTAATATCGGGTCTGGCTCCTCCCAGCCGGCCAATCACACGTCAGACCGGGAGCCTCAGTGGGGCACAGGAGGCGGGGTGGGAGGCAGGAGGCGTGCTAGCATTGGTCCACAGCAAAAGGGATTCTGACCAATCGGACCCCTCCCCCCTCTGAGTACAACAAAACACTGAGCTGGGTTGTAATTCAAATGAAAATTCTTTGAAAGGGAGAGCTGTGGGTGTGTGGGGGGTGAGGGGTGAGGGGTGAGGGGTGGGGGGTGGACAACGGTCAAAACAGCTGCAATTTTTTTCATTGACTTGCATCAGGCTCAGCGGGATACTATGGAAACATTGTGAGAAACACTGATAGTCCACACAACTGTTCTCTTTACTTAGCTCTTTGTATTCATCACAGCAGAAGTAACACAACGTCTGTCACCAATAGAGTAAACAATAGAGGAATAATCTTACTTCAATTATACATGTTGAATTGTTTTTCAGTTTGTTTTTCAACCTTTAAGCTGTCAATTTAAGTGCAATTAGCTGAAAGTGTATAAAAACCCAGCCTTAAATTAGAACATCAGTTCAGAGAAAACAAAGAAACAAAGACAAGGCAGTGCAAGATTTTGTGTTTTCTACACCTAAGCACCCAGTTAATTCTATCTATTGTAGTTTTTCTCCCAGCTTTATTCATTCAAACCTCTGCTGACACACAACATTCATCTACGTTCCCCTTTTCTCCTAAATCTAATTTCCCAGAAAAACACATCTCTCCCTGCACCCCACTGTTCCTCACCCTAACTCATCCCTCCCCCCCTCATCAAAACCGTTTACAACATTTCACTCCAGGGTTACATCACACTCAGTCAGTGGGCCTGTTTCTCTCATCCCACATCCTCACCTCCACCTCCAACACATCTATCCACACATTTTTAATGAGCCTTTTTATAGCCATCTTCCTCAACATGTGACCCTGTTTCCCCCAGATCTACCCCACTCTATCCCCCCTCTATCCCCCCCCCCTCTCATCCCTGAACAGCCGACCAGCAGCAAGGAGAAAGAGCTAAAGCGACCATGACAGCTTAGACTTGGACACACATTCACTCTCTTTTAGGAACGGCACACACAGTCCCACAGTTTGCTTTCATCTCAGCCATGTGACACACCAAAGAAGAGTTTAAAATAGCTTAACTCACAAACACATTTGCATTACCGAAAACAACATGAAGTGATCAAAAAGCCTTTAGGCAGGCCTCAAGGGACTGCATTTAGGGGAGAGAGAGGAAAAGCTGTTTTGGAAACACTGAACGCAATGTAAAGACAATGATATGAGTGGGAACATTGAACAAAGGAAGAACTGTTCAGTTAGTTTCAGGTACAGGATGACAGAAACCAAATGGAGGAGACGCACATGTAACGATGACATCATCACAACTGGGACTTTTTGCTTATCAAAAAGGCTGATTTCTCTTCAGAGGTAGAAACACAATTCAAATTCTTATTACAAATTCTTATTATAAGTCCCATCTGCTGAAAGAGTATGACGCTGATTTACCAATACCCTTCTATAACATTTTGGATTTATGTTAAATAAATAAGAATAAAAACACAACATTATCAATTTTATTCCATGCATTCTTGTTAAACGTGACACCTAAAATTCACACCATGCAACTTGACCGGTGCTTTAGAGCTGGAATAATTTGAAAGCAAGATATCACTTTTTTGGCTGGTTTCAAAATCAACACTCCCAAATGTTTTTTTCTTCCATTTTCTTACATGTAGTCATAGGCACCAACTGACACATTGTGTAAATACTGGAGTTCCCGTTTAAAACAATTTCAGGTTTGTTGTTCCTCTGTCATCAAGTCAAACATAATTATGCAACACTGGTGCTAGTGGAAACATTTACACTTCAGTTCAGAAAAGACACAAAAGATAACCAGAAAAAGCAATCTCCTGATACTTAGCTATAGAATATTTATTAATTAATGCCATTTTAACCGGTCTTGAAACGTTACTTTAAGCAACTACATGTACTGTATTGTCATTTTAAGAAGTGCTCTTTTAAAACGAGTATTTTCCTGGCAACTTCTTGAGACTACCTCATCCAAAAACTCAGCATCGTGCATCTTAAAGCCCAACAAAACATCCACCAAATGTAAAGTCAATTGCAAGATATTGAGAAAAATCCATTGGTACTTCTAAATGTGATCTCAATTTACTGTTTAAAATGTTTAGGTGTGTTTAACTGTCTGTTTTATTCCTTTCCAGATATTTGGAGCTGTGCATCAATAAAAACATTGTTGATAGTTGATATACTCTCTATTTATATCTCTCTATCTCCATCAGTATTCATGGCTAAACTGTCATGTACTTTCAGGTAACTGAGAGGCAGGATTATAGTTATCAGCTGAAATGGTTTTGTGTGGGTGGGACTTAGTGTGTGTTTGCATGACACACAGCTCTTGCATGATTACGAAAGCCCAAACTAGGAGATGTCCCATTATTCCTCGAACAATCACTTCCCCTTGAGTTTTTACATGATTTGTCCACAAAAGTAATCATCTTTAAAGCATGCGGCAGAGGCAGGGGTGGACACTTTAAAATAACATCATGTTCTGTTAAAGGCAGAGAGAGGAGGCCGGGTCAGCATGTGTACACTTTTAAGACCAGTAAACATTGAAATGAGACCTCTAGCAAAATATTTGTGGCATGTCCTTGTACCTCAATAAATATCCAGCCAAAGGTGGGCCATTCATAAAGAAAATGGTTGCTTTGTGGACATGAAAATGCCCTTAGTAAGGACTAAAGGATGTTTTTTTTTTTTTAGTAGAGGGCTGTGTGAAAAGGCCACAGCTTACTAAACCTGAATTAGTTGTGGTTTCGGTGACCAGAAGCACGTTTTCCCTGTTTTTCATAAAGTCTCTCTGAAGAATGGGTTTCTATGAATGACACATGCACAAACCTTTCCATAATTAGCTATAGCTATTGCACTGAGGCTCATTTTTCCAGTGTGAGAATTATGATGAAGAAAGTCTTTTCCTGTGTTTTTAACCGAGCACCTTTCTTTCAGTTTCCTTAGTAGTTCCTCCTTTTTTGGGGAGAATCTTTGAGTATTTCAGAAATGGACAGATCAACCAAGTGCACTCCATGACATACTATTGTGTTAATATAGCCTATGAAAAAAAACCATTATTTATAGCTACAAGGGCTGTTAAACAAGATGTTCCAGTAGTCTTTAGAGACTTAAAACAAAAGATGGGGAAATGGAAACCTTCGTTTGTGGAATCAGATAGCCATAAATAAATAAATGCATACCCAGTTACAGTCACTTCTTTAAGACTTGACGTTGAGAAAAGTTATCTACATGTTCCACGGTCAACCTGGCTACTTTAAACAAACATGGAAAAACATGTCTGTCAATTCATACTGTATTAATTTTCTCACTATTCAGCGTCAGACAGCTGAAAAGCATCTCTGCAGTGGGACTAGTGTGTCTGCAAAGAGCAGCATTATACCTCTGCCTGCCATTAAAGGCTTTTCAAATTGATCAAGCTACACCACTGAGTCTGTATATTTGTCTTTGTGTGTTAGAAATAACCCTCTAAGGAAACAAAAACATCTTCAGTCCGTCTTGTTTTTCTAACTTTCCGTCTTTTGCTTTCCATTCATGTTCTGTTCAGCTGATTTCTCCAAAAGAGACAAGCACACCACAGACCCTGACCACAGTGACAGACCGAGGAATGATATTCTTTATCCCGCAATGGAAACTTGCTTGGTTCAATTATCATAGAAATATGCTAACCGCTGTGTTAGCATGACTGTTTTTATGTTCAGCTTTCCGACCGCCATATTAGTTGAGTAATGATGTTTCATGATGTCTGCTGTGTGTGTGAGAAGGAGATAGTGTTTCACGGTGCGTGAGAAGGTGAGAAATATGGGACATGTACTGTATGAGACATAAGAAGGAAAGATTAAAGTGTTTAGCTGTATTCTAACAAGAAATGTTGAAAGAGGATGCAGGGGAAGCTCCAGCTGGAGGAAGCGATGACTAACTTTGACCACAGCTGACTTTGGTCACTTTTCAACCAGCCTGCTTAAGAGTAATTACAGGGAGAGTCAATGACCTGGTGCGATTTGCTTTTTCAATAGTTTTGAGCACTAAGTTTCTGAGTAGTTCAATACACAAACAAACAGCATCAGAAGAGGAACCAGGCTTTAAAAAAAATAAAGGCCATGTCTCGGTTGAATGCCTAGAAATGATTTGTGTCATCTCAAAAACGGGAAGATGAATCACTCAGCGTCCACACATTGTGCAAAAAGAACAAGTTAGTTCATGTTTGTGTGCTCAGTGAAGCTGTTTTACTGTATTTCACTGGCGTCTGTCCCAGCAGGCACTGACCTCCAGAGCACATCTGACATGAATCCTGGAAAGTCAAATTAATTAATTAACAAAATGACAAAATGAGGGAATTTCAGTGAATCCCAGATCCAGTTCAGCTTAATAAATAAGAACTTTTCCCCAAACCTGGAGGAGATTCCAGCTTGGAGAGAGTCCTCTTTGTCAGAGGAAATGTACTGCTAAATATTAGCAAATTAAAAAAAGAAAAATCCTGAGAGAATCCCTTGTAACTTAAATACTGTTGGGAAAAGTCACCACAACCCCTAGCAGAGGGAGTGTTTGAGGGGGATGTTGAAGGGTAGTTGGTCAGCAGAGATTTCTTTGGTTTGTTGCCTGCATTGGAGGGACGAGCAGGAAGCAGTGACGCATTTCACAACAGGAAATGTGTGAGAAAAACAAACAAATGCACACGGCTGGAAGTGTTTGCCT